CTTTGACTCATTTGAGGTTTATACATCTTTAATTTATCAATCTGGTATTTAATTTACGGGAGGTCGTCGAGTGACTCGAGAGGGACCCAATGACACTGAGTGCCGCGACCCTCCCCCGCTCACTCACACATTTTTTTTTTTCAAATTGAGTGACGTCCCACTCCCCTAAGGCAGTTATAAGATTGTGCCAAGTGACACAATCTCGTTAGTCCCGTTACCGTAAAACTTCATAAGTTCATGACTTTTGACTTGGTTATCTAAATTAGGTGATTTTTTTTCTTATTTCACATAACTTTTTGAGATCTACACAATGACACCTCATTTGACATATTTTATCTCTCACAAACATAGTTCAAATTTGTATAAATGTGGAATTATTGTTGCAAATTTGAACTATGTTAATGGAAGATAAAATGTGTCAAATGAGATGTCATTGCAAATTTATACATGTTTTTAATTGAAAATAATGTTTAAAACGCAATCAAACGGCTCCTTAGATAAGTGATGACAACATTTTATTATTTTTAATGCCTATTTTACGGATGTTTTTATTTACAGAATTGAATGGTCGAAGAAATAAATCTTCACAATTAAATCTTCGAGCATAAAACTGCAGAATATTGTATCCTTTGGAAAATACTAAACTTGCATATAATCCACCAACCATAAAATCCTAGTTACGTAAAGAATTTGAAGTGTTCAAATGTGATGCATGACAAGCCTTTTAAGTGTTCAAACGTGATGCTTACTCATCAATTGTTTTTATTCTAGTATTCTATAATCAATGTAGCACACCAAAAATGACCCGGTCAGTAGTAACACTTGTCATCTCTCTAAAATCAAGTACCTACCCCCTCTACATAATTGTCCGGCTTATGGAGTTGGGTTAAGCTCCTCCTACTCAGAACTCACCAACCAAGCACTACACTCTACTTAAAGCTCAAAACCCTTTTTTTTTTCCCTCTATCACTTGGTCTCTCATAGTCATAGTTTATGAACATAACATGGCGACCATAATTCCAGAGAATGCCAACCAAACTGTTTCCTCTATGTCTGAGTGCTTCGGTGTGAGTGACTTAGACCCCTTGAACTGGGGTCTGGCAGCAGATTCACTCAAAAGTAGTCACTTTGATGAAGTAAAACGTATGGTGGCAGAGTACCGAAAGTCAGTGATCTCTCTGGGTGGGGGTGGAACACTAACTATAGGGCAGGTTGCTGCTGCTGCTGCTAATCATAACTCACAAGTTAAGGTTGAGCTCTCAGAGTCTGCAAGGGCAGGTGTTGAGGCCAGCTGCGAGTGGATCATGGAAAACATTAACAAAGGCACTCCCATTTATGGTGTTACCACCGGCTTTGGTGCTGCCTCCCACAGGCAAACCAAACAAGGCTTTGATCTTCAGAAGGAGATGGTTAGGTGAGGTTTGACTCTACATAATAATTAATATATATGCTTTGCTAGGCTACAGGAGCCTTTATTAATAGGGAAAATATTTTCTCCTTGAGAAAATTTTTCTCATGTCAGTGACTCATAATATAAGTGGGGCCCACAAAATAGTAAAGAGAGAAAAGGTTTCAAGGTGGGACCCACTTATGCTATTTTCTCCTTTAAAAGGAGAAAATATTTTTCCTTATTAATAGTGCAATTCCTCTGTCTAAATAGTAAATACTAATTATTCTTTTGGGGGATGTATTTATTTACTCACTTTTCCTTCTTAAGGTTTTTAAACTGCGCAATATTTGGCTATGAAACTGAGTTATCTCATACACTGCCTCGGTCAGCAACCAGAGCAACAATGCTTGTGAGGGTCAATACCCTTCTTCAAGGGTATTCAGGCATTAGATTTGAAATCTTAGAAGCTATCACCAAACTCCTCAACCACAATGTCACCCCTATCTTGCCATTACGTGGTACAATTACTGCTTCTGGTGATCTAATTCCTCTTTCCTACATTGCTGCATTGTTAAGCGGTAGGCGAAACTCCAAAGCTGTTGGACCCTCTGGAGAGTCCCTTAATGCCAAGGAAGCCTTTGATTTAGCAGGTCTACATTCTGGGTTCTTTGAGTTGAAGCCTAAGGAAGGAGTTGCCCTCGTAAATGGTACTACTGTTGGGTCTGGCGTAGCTTCTGTGGTGCTTTTTGAGGCAAACATATTAGCTTTGTTGTCAGAAGTTCTATCAGCGGTTTTTGCTGAAGTCATGCAGGGGAAGCCGGAATTTACATATCATCTTATACATAAGCTGAAGTACCATCCTGGTCAAATTGAGGCTGCTGCTATTATGGAACACATTTTAGATGGAAGCTCTTATATCAAAAATACTAAAATGCAACAGACAGATCCATTGCAGAAGCCTAGAAAAGATCGTTATGCTCTTCAAACTTCTCCTCAGTGGCTTGGTCCACAGATCGAAGTCATCCGGTTTTCGACCAAATCAATTGAAAGGGAGATAAACTCGATGAATGACAATCCTTTGATTGATGTCACAAGGAACAGGGCTTTGAATGGTGGTAATTTCCAGGGCACCCCAATTGGAGTTTCAATGGATAATGCACGTTTAGCTATTGCTTCAATTGGCAGACTCATCTTTGCCCAATTTACCGAGCTAGTCAATGACTTGTATAATAATGGGTTACCATCAAATCTCTCTGCTGGTAGAAACCCAAGTCTGGATTATGGCTTTAAGGGATCTGAAGTTGCCATGGCTGCTTATTGTTCTGAACTTCAATATCTAGCAAATCCTGTGACGAGCCATGTGCAAAGTGCTGAGCAGCATAACCAAGATGTGAACTCTTTGGGCTTAATTTCTGCTTGGAAAACTGTTGAAGCCGTTGAGATATTGAAGCTCATGTCTTCCACTTATTTGGTTGCCCTCTGCCAAGCTATTGACTTGAGGCATTTGGAGGAAATTTTTAAGAACACAATCAAGAATACTGTAAGCAGAGTTGCAAAGAAGACATTAACCACAGAAGACGACGAAGAAACTAACCCATTTCTATTTTGTGAGAAAGATTTGCTCAAAGTGGTTGATAGAGAATATGTCTTCTCCTACATTGATGATCCCTCCAATGTTACGTACCCATTGATGCCAAAACTAAAGCAAGTACTTTATGAGCAAGCACACAAGAGTGCCATTAATGAAAAGAATGTGAGCTTGTTAATTTTTGAGAAGATTGGAGCTTTTGAGGATGAATTGAAGTCTCTCTTGCCAACGGAAGTTGAAAGTGCAAGGGTGGGTTATGAGAATGGCAATCCAGCAATTCCGAACAGAATTAAGGAATGTAGATCATACCCACTATACAAGTTTGTGAGGGAGGAGTTAAGGATAGGGTTGCTGACCGGAGAAAAGACTGTCTCACCAGATGAGGAATTTGAAAAAGTATTTACAGCGATGTGTCAAGCAAAGATTATTGACCCAATTCTGGAATGTCTCGGAGATTGGAATGGAGTTCCCATCCCTATATAATGTGTAATGAGTTATGCTTGACGATAATTTGCTTATATATGAATGTGTTATGTACTGGAGTTCCCGTGTTCTCTGTTTTAGGCTTTTGTGTGAATAACAGCAAGGGGTGTGGCTTGTAAGAGACTTCTATTGTTCTCTGTTCCAGGCTTTCAAGCGAATAATAGAAAGGTGTGCTGTGCTGCTCGGGATAGATTTGTGTAGATTTATTTACAATTAAATCAATAAAAAAATGTTATGCTCACTATCATTTTAACCTTATTATTCTTACTATCTCATTGGTTACCGTTGCATCAATTTGAAACCAACGACCATTAATTTTTTTTCATTTTTCAACCGTTGATTTCAAATTGATCCAACGGTAATCAATCAGATAATGAAAATAGTAAAGTTAAAATGATAGTAAGTATAACCACCCAAAAACTAATACCCTATCACATGAATCATAAACTAATTATGTGGCATACAAATTTACGTAATTATTTGAAATAAAGTTATTATATGTAAATATTAATTAATTTAATCACCACAACTTGTGTAATCAAACTTTTATCTAGAATTTCTCGTGTAGCTTACCAAGCTGCACAAACCCTCTAAATTGAAGAGCACATGGCATAGGGAATATTAGCCAGAAGAAACAAACAGATTCCATATACGATGGTGATACTGACAAACCTAACCGAAGACTCCCAAACCTTACAATGATCATTCATCCTCGAGCCATACATGGCCAGGAAATCGGTTACCTTCCCGCAAAATATGTTATATTCTAACCCCCAAATCAGCCGCCATCTGACACCTTATATCAGTGATGATGCACGTATGCTTGTGGAAAGGATGGCTTCTTTGCTATGAGTTTGATGGTATGATGAGAGTTCAATGGTTTCTCGCTCCAGAAAACTCCGTCCACGACTGACTAATGGACTGGTCTCCAAGTTGTTTACATATGTTCAAAAAGCTACTTCATAGGTCGTTTCCCACTTTCAAGTACATTTATTTAATGAACTCCATACGGTTTTTTTTTCTATTTCTTACTCCCTTTTTTAGTTTAGGAACATGGCTCGTGAACTCGCAGCTTGCCCAGAAGCGAGCGGAAGTTGGAGTTCATTTATTCACCTTTCAACATGGAGTTCATTTATTCACCTTTCAACAAATCTATCTAGACATACCTGTATAAGATCGTTAAATAGATCTCCAGGGACAGAGGACGGCCTCTTCACGATAGAATCGCACCCAAATCGTCCTTTCTTTATAAGAATAATCAACTTGGAGAAAACATTGAAGTATTTTTGCAAATATGATAGTACTCAATATTACAAAGTCTATACCAATCCAAATTTTTTGCAAATATGAAAGAGTAAGACTATGAATAAGGATAGCCCTCACTCCACTCTAGCCAGTCGAGTTCAATGGAAAGTGTTTTTTAATATCAAACCAGATGTGTCGTTAACTAAGCTAGCAAAGTACTGTAAACGAAAAAGTACGTCACTTTCCCTATCCTTGAACACACAGGAAAAATTTGAACACCCAGAAGAATGGTGGAAATATATAAAAGTATCCATTTAATTTTTTTTTTCAGCATTGGAATGAATAAGGGATGAGACAGTCTGAACAACTTGATTAAACTATTACATGAAACAAATGATATCAAACACTAGCTGAATGAGTAAACCACTTACGGGAGACAGGTAGAAGGGGAACAAACTGCAGATCACGTTGCAATATAAAATCAATTGACAGCTATTTAATGCAATCAGCAAAACATCTGTTACCCCACTCAATATGCTGCAAAGCAATCAAGCTATAAAAAGAATTCAGCAGAGGTTATACCACTTAAGAAAAATTTCTCTTCCAGCATGCCTTTTGCTTAGTTGATGAGAGATAGCAAAGAGAACCTCAATCTATCTTTACTGATGAAAACAAGTAGTGCACAAAGTAGAATGACATAAGGAAGCCAATGGTTCCAGTTGACAACATGATTGCAATCGCCATGAGCAGTGAATAGCCAAGATAAAGTATTGCTGATACAGGTCCACTCAAACTTTGCAGGTCGAAAACCAAGTAGTTAATGGAGTACAAGAAGACATAAAGAGCAACAGAGCCTGAGGCAAAGAATGCCTTCCACCACCACCGCCAATCTTCCACACAAAGATGCATATATGTGAGGACCACTGACACTTCAGCACAAACAATAACCAGCAATAGAAGAACAACCAACAGGAAACCAAATACATAATAGAATCTCCCAAGCCAGATACTGGAAAGGATAAAGAAAAGCTCAATGAAAAGGGTTCCGAAAGGAAGAGTTCCTGCGCCAAGAACAAGAAGCCATGAAGGATATTTACGCGAAGGAATTTCCCTTGGAATCTGATTAGTTCGCACAGGATAGTCAATCTGCGGAGCTTTTGTACCCATAAATCCTCCAATGAGGGTAAGTGGTACTGAAATGCAGAACCAGAGGAATAACAACTCAAAATACAAGGAAATGGGAATAGCGCCAGTGCTGTTGCTGCCCCAGAGAATAAAATTCAGTGCTGTTAAAATAATAAAAGCAATTCCAGGAAAAAAACATGCAGCAAACCAGGAAATCGATCTCCACCCTTCTGAAGTTCCCTTAATGGTCCTCCAGAGACGTACACTGACATACCCAGCAGCAATTCCGAGGAAAAGATATAAAATTATCATCCCTGTTAATAGCATTCCCCGGGAAGCTGGTGACATGAAACCCAGGGCTGCAAAAACAATAGTAACAGCAGCCATTCCAAGAATCTGAACCCCATCCCCAACCATCACACAGAGAAGCCTTGAGCAATCAGGCTCCCTAAATACATCACCCACAACAAGCTTCCATCCAGAAAGCTCCTCATTCATCTGAGCTTGTGTCTCTTTGTCCATTTCCTCATACCTTGTCAAGTCCCTTCTCACAGTTCTTAAGAAAATGACAAAAACAATACCAGCTAGGAAAAAAATAACCATAAGTGAATTTAGGATTGAGAACCAATGTACTCGGGCACCCTCCATCTTCAAATAAGCATCCCACCGCGATGGCCATCTTATATCACTTTTCACAAATTGAACCTCATATGTGAATGATACCCTCTCTTGCTCTCTTATTGGTTGATACTTGTCTGGCTCAGATGGGCAGTTTGTCGAAGAGATATTGTCATACATGTGGAGCTTTGTCATGACTTCAGGATCACGTTTAATGCTACAAGGGACAACCTGAAAACCAACTATTTCATATCCAGAAGCCTTCATGTCAGCTTTAGAAATAATACCCGCACCTCCCTCCCCAGTCCCAATGATTTCAACACCATTTCCTTCATATTCATGAACCAAGACCGTGAACTTGAGATGGTTAATGATGTAATCAGCACTACCATCAGGTGGTGTGTATCCAACAGGGAACCCCGTCCACTGGATTTTAACCCCATTTTGAATAGCAAACCTCATAACAGGCAAATTGTCAAGGATCATATTTACTTGATACAGATCACGAGTTCTTTGTTTCAGTAGCTTAACCTCATGCTCATTCAAGGGGGTTGTAGTGCAGAGGTAGATTGACTGATTAAGATTCATGCGGAAAACGTAGGGAGAGTTATCGATCTGATCTCCCCTAAGGAGTTCTCCAAGATTCTCAGCACTTTTCTTTATGCCACCAAGGGGCTGGCAGTAAGGGAGACTATAGTAGCTGAAGGGAAGCTCAGTTTCAATAGAAGTCAACGAATTAACTTTGGCGTTTATCGGATCTCCATTTGAGTATGTGTGCATGTAGCTTCCCGGAAGATAAAAAGCATTGCTAATTTGAACAAAGACAACAACGACGGAAAGGCAAAACCAGTAGATCAAACGCTTTCTCATACTTGGTAACTCCATTTGCTTTAATGCAAGACGTCGGAAAATTAAGCTAACTCTATCGATGCATTCAACACCAAATCTACAATAGAATAATAAACATTTTCACATGAGATGCCGAATTTATATAATATCAAAATTTTCAAATCAGATCCATTAGTTGCGAAGTAGAATTGAAGAAAAAGGCAACGGAGATTGACTTAAGAATAACACAGAATCAGATCACAAAACGCAAACAACTCCAATGACAAAGCTCACAAGTTAAAAAAAGAACAATCAGAATCACGAAGAAAGTAAAATTCATGTAGGAGCAAGAGCAGCAATAAAAACCAAAAACAGCTATGATGAACAACAAAACAAACCTGCAAAGTGCAAAGTAAGAGATCTGGCGAAGAGAGAGAGAGAGAGAGAGAGAGAGAGAGGACGAAAGGAAAGCGTGGCGATGGAGATCTCAACGAACCAGATGAGTGGGTCAGGACTCGCTCGGGAAAGTGATACTTGTATGGTACGGCCCAGCCAAGCCCATCTTTGCCTTAAAAAAAAATTCCAATAAATATATATTCTTAATAATATTAACTTAAGATAATTTAATGTTTCACAACTCTGGTAAAATTTGCAGATTTTGTTGTGTGGATTTCATCATTAATAACCATAAATATGGTTGAAATATCTATAGAAAATATTAATAAGCATTAGCAAAATCGACATAAATGAAGGAATATAACTTCCCCTATTCCTAAATTCTTGAAAAAGAAGCATATAATCTGAAGACAAAGCGAATAAATAGTGTTTGTCAATATTATTTAAATTTGATGGAATAAATGTCTTAACATAATCATTTCATGCAATAAATTTCAGTTATTTATTAATAGATGAACGGTGCATGATTAAAGAGATATTTTTTTCTTCTTGTTTTGCGAACTTCATCGTACCATTGACATTTCAATAAATAATTAAAATTTATTACATGACATAATGACATAATCATCCTAAAAATAGGATCAACTCTTTTTTTTTTTTTTGGAGGTTAGGATCAACTCTTAATTATAGTATTCTTTCGCACAAGAAAATCTAATGTTTGATTAATGCCATCATGTGAAAAAAAAACCATTTTCGTACATATTTAGGACCATATAAAAAATGAACTATTGCTTTTCTTTAATATAAAGGAGATTTAAGGAATTGAAAAGAAAAAAAATTAACAACCCACATCATTGAAGTAAAATTAAATAAAATCGGTTTATAGTTTATGGAAAAAGTGTTTAAAGGACACATATTTAGGTTTTTTTAAGATAAAGGTAAATACAAAGATATATGAATATTACTAAAAAAAATAAAGGTGTGAAACTCACCTTTTTATGTCTATATTTCTTATAAAAGGATTTAAGTGTGTGTACTTTAAAATAACATATATTTTGTTATCAAAAAAAAAAAAAAACATATATTTTTTCCCTACTTTATTCTCAAGTTTTGAAATGAGAATTTACATTAAAATTACATTTACGAATAAAGTTTAGTTTCATTAAATTCAATAAAATTACACTAACTTTATTTTATTTAAATTTTAAATTATACCAAATTCCCCCATTTTAAATTTTTTGCCAGACAACTTTTTATTTTAAAATAATGCATATGATCTCTCCATAAGAATCTTCTGTACAAATTAAAAAAAACACGTCAAAGTGAGATTAAAAATATTTTCAAAGTAAACTATTAAAAAAAAATTCAAAGTTGTAATAGAAACTATTACATTTTAATCAGATTTAAAGGAAGGTTAAACTAATTTTAACTTTTATAGCTAAAATTCTCTTGACTTGATGGGGGGTTTAATATTTCGGGTTGCAGATAAACAAATGTTGAGTTACACCTTTGCCTTGAGGTGTTTACGGTCTGAATTGAATCGATTTTAAAGTAAAAATTATTTGATCTAATTCCTTCAGTTTGATTATTTAATCATCTATTCGGTTTGAATTTTTTTTAAAATTCGAAATCCAATCCAATTTTATTAGGTTTGGATTAAATTGATTTTCGATTTTTTAAAAAGTCTAAAATTTCAACGCTACAAATCACTAGCTATATTAAAATAAAGTCATACATAATTATAAACTACTAAAAAACTCAAGTCTTCAAACTAAAATAAATCTTAAAACTCAGTTAAAATAAATTAATAGACATAAAAAACTAAAACAAGATAGTTTACTATTAATAACATTCAACATCTAAGTCTACAAAATAACAAGATTTCAAACCACCATCTTTCAAAAATAATAAATATATAATATATTGAATCATTTTGTATTTAATTGATTTTCTTCAATTAATTTGATAATTAATTTTTTGATTCCGTCACCACAATTTAAATCAATTGATGAACATCCTTAACTGCCTTAGTGTTGCACAACTAAGCATGTGGATTCATTTCAGTTTAACTATATTCTCGGTAGATCCCATCTAGGGACGGCTAGGAATCTAACTATATTCTTTAAATCAATTGTTTAAAGATCTTTTTGTTCTCTCCCATACAAACTCAAACAATTCATAAAATTATAACATAATTTAGACTTACGAAAATTTGAAAGCAGAAGACTCGAGAGAAAACATTAGGGACGGCTAGGAATCTAACCAGCAAAAAGTTAACACAAGAAGCCGAATATTTCCAGTTTTACATGTCTTTTCTTACACCAAGGAATAAAATGTTTCACATGATGCTACAGTCCCAAAGAGTGAAGAGATATACAAAAGACGGTTGACTTTTGGTAATGGCAAACAACAACATATAATACATTTAGTGGAACTTGAGACTGGTCAAGACGTTGTTGTTCACGGGATCAGCAAGATGATCTAGGAGGTTTTGGTATGGCCCAACTCCTGTCACAAGACCTTGAATAAAGTAACCCAAGACTGCCAACATAGCCAACCTCCCATTCTTCACTTCCTTGAGCTTCAAATCCTTCATGGATTTCTCATCCTTACCAAAACCAAGAGGGTTAAAGAAAGGTCCTCCAGGGTAAGCTGGGTCGCCAGAACCTCCTAGACCTTTTTCTAGTCCTAAGAAGTACTGCTTGCCCATAGAGCCAGGTTTGGCCCAATCTTGGAATCTCCTGTGCTCTGCAAATCCCATAAGTGCCATCTCCAACACAAAGAGCGTGTAAGGGTCTGCCCAGTAGTTGTATGTTCCTGCAGGTGGAATTACACCAGTTCTGAACCATGGGAGGGCTGTTTCCTCAGGAATCAGACCAGCCTTGCCAAGAATTTCAGGTGCTATAGCACCAACTGCACCCAACATTGCAAAACGACCATTGATGATCTCACCATATGCTAGCCATCTGGGCTCAATGAACCCTCCTGTTCCCTCAGGGTCTGAAAGTCCCAAAGGGTCAAATCCAAAGTCACCGGGAAGGCTGCAAATGATGCCAAATAAAGTCAATTCCAGCACCTTGTAACAATTACCCTACCAAGTTGCATAGCTACATACTATAAACACATACTGTTATATTAGCCTCTTAGCTTCACAAAACATCCAACTGAAACAATTTCTTCAACTACAACGAAATTTACCTTCCATCCAAGTAAGAAAGACTCTGCTTTGATGCAAACCACAATTGTCTATCTGCTCCTTGCTGAACTCCAACAGAAAGAGAAAGTTGTTTTAATATAAATGGAGATCAAAACACACATGTAGACAAAAACACATCGAGTGAAAGAGAAAGAGACCTTAACAGGGGGAGTAGAAGCTGCCTTGACAATAAAGGAGCCTTTTCTGGAGAACCCAGTAGGAGATTGGAGTGATCTTGCTCCAAGACTCTGTCTGGCAGCCTCGGCTGAGAAGGTGAGAGATGATGACGATATCAGAGCTTGTGCAGCCATGCCCTTTCCTCCTTTGTTGTCTCAGCCAAAGAGAGTTTTCTTCTAAAATGTTAGATTCTACTAAATGGTCACGAATGAATTGCACCCACTATTAAGCCAAGGGCAGGAAGATATGGAGTACGCTGAGCCACTACTTAGGCCACAGGTACAAGTAGCATGGAACTCCTGGTCGATAATGAATGGCGTAATATAGTGAGGATGAGATCGATATCTAGTTCTCCAACCAAGTGCATACACGTAGTATGGTGAATCGGATAAGAGATCTTATTTTCTTCCTATTGGTGTTCGTGTTACGTTCTCGTTTGTATGTGATATAATCTCCCTCCGAACTGTTTTGTCATTTTGTGTGAGTAATGTGTGCCATGTTTACTGTCTACTCTATCTCCACGTGGAATTTTGGAACCATAACAAGCCAAGGACGAATATTAAGAAGAAAAAAAAACCGAGGATCCGTGCGTAAATATTAAATGTCAAAAGGATTATTTATATTTCTTTTACCAACGTGGATCATTCTTGTTCTTAGGACGACCGGCGGAGATGCATGTAGCCGAAAGAAGAAAACGAACAGGGTACTTAAAACCTCATATTACGGTTGATTTCTTATTACTTCTTAACTTTGGGCAAAAGTTTCCCTTAAATTTAATATTCTTTCCAAAATTGAACAGCTCACAAGGTGACAGGACTATCCAACCCAAAATCCCAACACTTCATTTATAACCATATACAAAACCAATAACGCACGGTGAAAGGTAAAGTTGTACCCTTAAGCACACAGGGCACAGGCCTTGCTAGCATTTAACAGCCGAGAAGAAAATGACTGATATTTGGATAACCAAACATGTTTGCTGTCCCCAAATGTGAGTCTAAAACAGAACGCAAAAACTAGGTTCAGTTCTAAAATACAAGATGCGAATTAATCTAAATTGAGTTTATCATTTGTTGATGTGGTTTATGTACTTTATTATGTGCGACCTCCATTTTTTATTATCGTTTTCCCAAGAGACTCTCGTACCAAATTCGAAATTTAATAATATTCTGATGGAAATGATAAGATGGAGGGTGAAGGGGGAAGACGGATAAAATAACATAGGTAGTACCTTAGTAAGAGATCTTGAAATGCTTCTTTTTGCGCTAACTTTACTGTTTAAAACCTAGCATTGGAAATGGCAAACCTTAGTGTAATACATCCATGGCAAAACCCAACAAATAATGCAACAATCTCTCATGACTTCCCACCAAAAAAACTATCACTGAAATGTTATTTCTTCGTTGGACTTGGAGCTGTATGCCTCGTGAGGACATAGCAATCCGGTGGGGTGATGTTCGTATAATAGTTCTGTATTGTTTCTGTAATTTCAAACCCAAATTTCTTATAAAAGTTTATGGCATCTTCATTGTTTGTCTGCACATGCAAGTACACCTCAGAAAAGTTTTGCTTGGAGCAAAGATCAAGAACATGATTCAGCAGCCTTGTTCCTGCATAAACCACAAGACTCATATCACAAAAATTGCGTATATCAAATTCATTAAAGCATGCACACAAAAAACTTAAAAGGAAGTGATAAATTTTGAAACAATGACTGTTGCCAGATGGAAATTGAAACATTCCGAATACGAAGCTTGCACCTCATTCACTTGATCTAATTTTATGGTACTATGGCAGTATGCACATTGAGATGAATCATAATTAAAATGATCAATTACATTTTCAATAACCATTTACCAAAGATATTCAATTTCTTTCTTACCAATACCAAGTCCACGGTAAGGTGCTAAAACACCTAAAGTCATGATGTATATCCGAAATTGCCCCCCACCTTCCTTCTTCTCAAGCCGGCACGCAATTGCACCAACACAAATGTCACTGTAGTAAGCTGAAATACAAAAGCATAGTAATCAGTCTCAGGGTTACTATTGTATTTCAAAGGGGAATGTGAACTCACATTCAACAACATTAATAAAGGCGTTAGACACATTCTATAGGTACCTTGTATACCCATCCCTCCTTTGTGTATCACCCATACTATCGTGCAAATTGAATGCACAGAAATATCAAACAGGCTAGTTAGAATAAAGCAAAGTTTGCATTCCAACAGAGTCCAAAAACTTTCAGAAGCACATAAATGTGTTATATTAAGAAGTATTGAAGACATCTTGCGTTGTATTCAATAAAGATGACAGTGTACATTTTTTAGCGTGCAGATAAATGAAGATATTTTATAAGTAAAGAAAAATTTCAAAGCAAAGAAGGATCATATATCCTCTTTAAATCAAGCAGAAAAAGAAGAACAAAAAAATCAATTCAAAAGAGCTCTCCAAACCATCAGCATATCTACCAAAGAAACTGAATGAACTATCCTATGTGTTCACATGTTCTTGTTAACACTCTTGAAAAGAGGTTTTTATTGCCCATCGTAAGGAAGGGAGTAAAAATCCTACGAATTATCATTGTTTTAGGATGGAAAAGAAAGGGAAAAAAAACTCCTAAACTCATGTTAAAGGTCATAGTTTTATCTGAGTTATTTAATTATTTCATTGTTAGATAAAAAAAATTGCACATTGTGGATTCTTTTTATAAGAAACGCATACTAAATTTAGTTTCTAGTTAAAGCTGGAAAGTAGGCAGCAAATGACAAAAGAACTAAAAAGCATCAAGTGTTGAAGGAGGGGATAGTTAGCTCCAAGGCGCTGGGTGTGCACCAAGGTTCAGGGAGTAGGGATGCAATAGCACCCAAAACACGTGAACTTTACCTTCTAGGTTCATAGCGCCAGAGCATTGGGAAGCCAGCGTCAGTTACCTTAATTATAAAAAGGACAACAACAACAACAGAATTAAGGACTTTTTGCTTTTAGGGTTAAGAAGGATTCTTTGCGACAGCATATTCTTGGCTGACAGCTGCTCAAGGGAAAGGAGAAGAGATTGAGCATGGAAACATAAAGATCAATCTTCTTCCCAATTTATTGTCAGCCAGTATGTTTGAACAAGGTTGTCGAATCATAATACTTATCGTGAATCGTTTGGCTCTTTTTTTTAACGTGAATCGTGAATGGTATTGAATCGCAAGATTCAAATATATAATGAAAAATGATTTAAAATATATAATATCATATAAGCTATTTGTACCTAGTTTTAACGTTTCTGTTTTCTTAGTTGTTCTCTGTTTTCTTGAACATTTGAAACTGAAAGTCTCTGTTTTAGTGTTTTCATTTCTTAACGTATTGATTTATATTAATTTGAATGACTTCCCAGTTTCGTATTAATTTGAATTTTGAATTGCTTCTGAATCAGATTTGATTGGATTCTCCATAGTTTTTCAATGCTTCAATACATGGCGAGATTCGATATATATCTCGTTCAACCTTTGTATCGAATTGTATCACAGGATACGTATCACGTATCCTATGATACTAACAACTATGTGTTTGAATCTTAAAATGGGCAACCTGGTGCTATAAAACTCCTGCTTTGTGCAGTGTATACAGAAGGGTCAAACCTATTATGTGAGTCTAATAGTAGGCAACCTTGCCTTACATTTGCAAGAGACTGACTACATAAATCAAACCTGCAAAACCGGGTCACCTAGCAACAACACCAACCGTTGTGCCAAAGCTCCCTTTCTATGTTTGAATCTTAATTAGAAAGAATTTCATATTCTTTGTACGCAAAATCAAAATCTTCAAGACAAAACAAAATGCATGAGGAGATAGCAAAAGGAAGCAAATAGCAATTAAGAATTGCAGAGTTAATTGAGATCAATTACAGAAGAAAAAATCAACTAGAAATTGAATTGAACAAAAATCAAAAAGTATAAACCAAAATTTAAAGGGTTTGGTTATGAATGACTTTAGTGCTTGGGCAGTTTAGTTCTTAGCCATTAGATAATTAAGTTTTAGCATAATATATATATATATATATATATATATATATATATAAAATGTTTCCCCTGCCACAGGAGATAAAATTATCTCCAGCAATCCAAAACTATGAAAATTAATAAAAGATATTTTAGGGATGTTAGTTGTTTCTTTGTTATATGAACTTTACTAAAACACCCTTCATTAATTCCTTCAACCTTCAAAACGACATAGTTTTACGATTGCTGGTGATAATTTTATCTCTTGTGGTAGGAGAAATGATAAACCCTATATATATATGGGTTTATCGTTTCTCCTGCCACAAGATATAAATTTATCTCCAGCAACCCCTAAAACTATGTCGTTTTAAGGGTTAGAAAAATTAATGAAGGATGTTTTAGTAAAATTCATGTAACAAAGAAATAAATAAAATTCCTAAAATATCCTTCATTAATTCTCTTAATCCTCAAAACGACCTTGTTTTGAGATTGCTGGAGATAACTTTACCTCCTGTGGCAGGAGAAATATTTTTCATATATATTTGTCAAAAGATTAGAGTTTCACATCTACTGTTACAAAATTTTAAGTGAAAGCAATGATTAAATGCAGTAACCAAATTTAAAACATCTTCAGATGAAAGAAATGATTAATCATGGATTAGATTACCTAACCTACAGTGCAATTAGAATCTTGACTTTTAAAATGTGAAGAAAGCTATAGGCAAATTAAACAGGAACTCAAAGTGCAATACTTTAGAGAAAACCTTGAAAGGAATACATATAAACAAAAAACAGTACACAACATACAAGCCAACGTGAAGACATTGCCATACTCACGCTTCAGCATCACATAAAAGAAACAATTTATCTTTTGGCTATCAACTCATTATCCATCTTATCATTCCCCAATCATCGGAAACTTTTTGCAGCCAAACAAGTAACTTACAGAATTAATTGAATACTAACCGAAACAAAAGAAACATTTATCATTTTATTTATTCATTTAACCTGGATTCCAAGCAGATTCCCTTTGATTCCTTAGCAACACTATGTATGCGTTTTCAAGAATACAAATAGTCTGATATAATGGAAAATGAAACAGCAAGCCAATGTGGGCAAGAAAACCTTTAAACATGAAGTTGTAAAATGAAAGGAAAAATAAATAGAGAGTGCAAAAGAAGCAGGGAATTGAACCTAGTTTGGTAAATTCGCCAGAAGCAAGTGCATCAGTATAGTATTTGTCATTGTAACGAACAAGGAAAAGAGCAATATTGAGCTTCTTGAGCTGCATAATGTTCTTATCCCTCACTCCATCAAGTGAGATTGAAACTTCACGGCCAACTCCCATTCTACAAAAAGGAATAATAACATGTCAGCAAAAGAATACTTAAAAAGAAGGCATGAATGGTTATGAATTCACCTCATCCCAAAATCAACCTAAAATTAATACTCAATTCCTCAACTAGTTCCCAATCACTACTACAGAATAGAATAGCCACTACTCGTCTCTTACTACATTAAACTAGGACCAACCTACATATACCCTTGCCCAAAACCAGTTAAAAGCGAAAAATAGCGTTTTATAGGAGCATGTGTGAGAAGCAAAAGGAAAACAAGTTGTGATGCAGAGGCAAGGTAGAGTGAGATGCCTCACCTGAGGAAAGTTTGAATCTGGTAGCTTCAGAATACCCAAACCAATCAAGTGGCGTGACGGTGCACGAGAGAAAAAACCTAGAACCCGGGATTCTTTTGACTCTAAACAGTTTTATTTTTCTCATCTAACTCTTTTTGTTTTGGGATGATATACTTAACACCAAAAAAGTATACTATTTGTATAATTTATTTAATCACCGTTGATTTATGTTAATTTAACAATTATTAATAACTAATAATTAATTAATATATATGACATAATAAATATTATTAATTTCTAATAAATTATAACTATTAGATTGACGAAAATTAACAATAATTAAATTAGTTTCAAGAATGATAAACTTTTTTTGGAGGTCTGTTATATTTTTTTTTAGGATTAACAAAACATTTTATTAACTGGTGTTTTTTTTTGCCCCTTCTTAATAACTGATTCTTTTTTTAAAGATGGATTTTTTTACTAATAATCTTATTATTAGTGCCACTTCTCATATTGTCTAATGACTCTATAAATAATTCAATGATACATGTATCACTTGTTAAATATAATAAAATAAAATAAAATTTTTGTGGTGATAACTTTAATTGACATTTCGGTTAAATTAATTCAATAAACACGCTTGATTGTTTTCCCTAATTATAATTATAGGAAAAAGTTTATAAACACTCATGTAATTTATTTTATCATTTATATCCTTATTTATATCCTTATTTTTTTAATAATTAGACAATTACCCCATGTGAACTTTTCTTCATCCAAGTTCATTTTAACATCGTTAGTAATTGAGTTAACTTACTCATTTTTTTCCCTTTATGTTTGGAGTTTTGTCTATCAAAAATAAAATCTGACCCTAAAAATAAAAAAAATTAGCAAAATCTACTTGATTATGACAAAAAAAACATATACCAGATAGTAGAACATGGTTGTTGGAAACAGGCGTGGAAAAAGTTCATAGAAGGCAATTTATAACTATATGTGAAAAAATGAAACAAATCACATTAACCAGAGAAAACAGTCAAACAACATTGGCCCCAACATCAATACGCAAATGAAGGCCTCTTTTATCTTTCTCCTCTCATCTAATAAACAATTCAATATTAATATTATCAGAAGAAATCAATAGATTTTGAAGAAATTTTTTCCCCTGTTATGAAGATGAGTCTGATTGGTACTTGTTATCGCAACATTTATGAACTTAGAAGTTGAATAGATATAGGTAAAAATTGCATTCCTTCATGGCGACCTGGAATAGAAGATTAGTATGGAGCAACCTAAAGGGTTTTGAGCGCCATGTAAAGAAGATCTGGCTTGTCGATTGAATAAAAGTTTGTATGGCTTGAAACAAGCACTTCGGTCAGTAGCACAAAAACTTTGAATCCTTCATGATACAACACAAGTTCAATAAGATTGAGGGCGACCACTGCGTATTTGTTAAGAAGTATGAGGACAAATATTTTCTTCTTTTACTTTTATATATTGATTATATGCTTCTTGTAGGGCAAAACAAAATAAAGATAGTCGCCCCTAGAGAAAGTGTTAAGCTCCCTGCAAAGCAAATTATTGGAATAAAGATAATAAGAGGCTGTCAAAGGAAACTATTGTGGCTAAGTCAAGAAAAATATACTGATAAAATTTTGAAGAGGTTCAACATGGATAAAGCCAAGAAATGAGCGCCCCTATAGCCAGACACATAAAACTAAGCTAAAAGTAATGACCGAGGTCTGATGAAGAAAAAGATGAGATGTTGAATATCCCGTACTAGTCCGCCATCATAATTTTGATGTACAATGGTATGTATGAGACCCGACCTGACATGTGTTGTTAGAATGGTAAGTCGGTATTTGTCTAATCCCGACAAAGAGCACTAGGAAGTCGTCAAATAGATCTTCAAATATCTCAGAGAAATAAGGAACTTATGCTTCGCTTTGGGGAAGGTAAGGCCGAGCTGCAAGGCTTTACAGATGTTGATTTAGAGGTAGATGTCGACTCTAGAATGTCAATGACGAGATACTTAATGACCTTTGCAGAAAATGTTGTCTCCTGGCAATCAAAATTGCAAAAACATGTGGCACTTCCGACAACCGAAACTGAGTACATAGTTGCAACCAATATTGTTAAAATTGAGATATTACATAAAATCGAGAACAGGTAAAAAAATCAAAAATCGCAACATCGATATGAATCATAATATCGTAACTGTACGTATGAAATATTAAAATTATATTAAAAATAAAATTCCAATATTAATGTTGTTTATATTTCAGCCTTGTGGGATTTTTTATTTTTATTTTCTGAACATGCTAGACAGCTAGAGGCTTCCGAAGACAGCCTTGTACAATACTTTTTGAATTGTGAGCTGACTATTGTGTCAGTTAGGTTTTCTAAGTATACTCAACCATCACTTTGTGCATATAAACCCCACTTGTTGATTTTGGAAAGAGTAGACTTTTTCCCATTCATTCTGGCGAGATTGCCATTATGGCGATGCTATCGATGGTGTAATATGGTGCCTTCAGACGAAAAATGAAGTAGAGGATGTAAGAACCTGCACCGTTAATTTAGAAATTTAATTAATTAATTATGAGATTAATGAGATAATTCCTTAATTGACTCTAATAATTATGATAAGGCTTAAATAATTATAGTAAGTGATTAATAATGTTGAAAGTCGCTTTTCTGACGAAAAGTGCAGATACTGATTCTGCCTCACAGTATAAATGCATACCAATGAAGTATCTCGAAAAATTATGAAAAAATATGTATATATCACTAGAATAATATCTAGGACTAGTATACAAAGTTTGAAGTCGAAATAATGAGAACTGGCGTCAGAACTTATATCGGCTACGTAAAAGCGCGTACCGACAAAGTATTGCGAAAAATAAAAAAAAAATGACAAATCCTAGAAAAATGGCTAGGTTCAGAATCCAAAGTTTGAGATTAAAATGATAAGGGTAGCTATTAGTGTTAATATCGACGATTAGTTAAATGGACCTATAAGTGCTAATTGGGCCCAAAACCCTAGATCATATTCAGCCTCTACGTGAGTCTTTTGACTGCTGACTTTCCCTTCAGCCATTTTCTCTTCTCTTATTGGACTTGAGCTCCATGCACCAAAATGAGCCAAGAGCTCACCTTTTTCCATTGATTTCTTCACATTAAACCTTGTAAACACTTAGTAGTTGATTGTGAAGGAGCTTGGTGGTTCATTTTCTGAGTGTCAACCTCTGTTTTGGTAAGGTGTTGTTGCTGTCTACCTTGGTTGTGAGGGTGGTGGTCATGTTTTTGGTTGTGGGGGCTCCAAGAAGCTATTTTGAGTGTTAAAGGACCAAGGTTGTTGTGTATTTTCGTAGTCCATTAACGTCAGAACCTTGGAGCTGTGTTGGAGGCTCCAAGTCAGTGTCTTTTCTGAGTTTTCAAGACCTAAGGTAAGCCATGATCATCCCTTTTGAATTTTCCATGGTTTGAGCTTGTGTGAGCCTTTAAAAAGATAAACTTGAACCATTTGAGTTAAAGGATGATAATCTATGCTTAAAAGATGTTAACGAACTTTTGTTTGTGGAGTAATTGGACTCCAAATCGAGTTTGGACCCTTAAAAATAGGATTATGCAGAAACTGCTCGAGTTTATGCATTCTGTTTGATAAGTATTCGAATAGTTTTCGTGGAGTATTTGAATACTCATCAGCAGGTAGTCGAATACTCATTGAAGGAGTATTGGGATACTTTTTGAGAAAAAGAGTATTCGGATACCTTGTGGTATTCGAATACTGTAAAAAATGTATTCGGATACTGTGTAGTATTCAGATATCGTGGGAAAAGTATTCGGATACTTGTTGGTATTCGAATACTTTAGTGAAAGTATTCAGATACTTTCTGGAGACATGGAGTATTCGAATACTCATCAAGGAGTATTAGAATACCTCATGCATAATTAGCCTTTAATCACCTAAAACAAGTTTGGAATACTTAAACACTTATTGAGACCTTGGGCTTTGAATAATAATAATTATTTATGTTATAAACAGACTGTGAGTGTGTTGTTTGGTGTCCTTGGGCTAGTGTGGACTTTGGCTTGGATTGTTAGCTTGCGAGGTAAGCTTTCGTGTTCTCGGTTTTTTCATTGTTGGTTCCACCACACCTCATGGAGGGGTGGTTTATATGCATGATGGGTTTTCATGTATTGATATTTGAAATGCTATTGAGCTGTTAAGTGCAAATGCCTTATGATATGTATGTGTTGTTCCACCTAGACGGTAAGCCTGAGTATGTGGCGTCATACAATATGGTGATTTCGTGGGTGGGTGAAAGTAGCGTCTTGCACTGATTGTAGGTTGCAGACGTACGTAATTCCTGCATGTTCTCTGGCCAGTAGAATTTTGACACACATGACATGATTATAGGATGCATTGCACTGATTTTGGAACTTATATTATATTACTGCTTTTGAACTTATATTGCACATGTAATGGAGCTTGGGGTGGAGAGATCCTTGAAGACCCCTTGTCTTACTGAGATTTCTTTTTAGATATCTCACCCCACGTTTAGGGCAAATTTTCAGGATCAGGTACCTCGGGGGTTGATACCTCGAGCGGCAGAAGGCCGGAGCTGAGTTAATTTACATGATGTTATGCTGACATGCTTAGTGGTTGACTATGTTTTTAGTTTCATTATATTGTTTATTGAGCTGAGACTATGTTGGGCTTTGTTGCCTCATTTGGTGAGCATGGGGATTGTCCATGCCACGTTGACTTGATTATAATTTGTTTAGCTAAACTTGCGTTGTATAATCTATCAGGATATTGTTCGGTCTACGTGTTGTAGCTCTGTGACTAGAAACACATTTTTATATGAGGTATTTCAGTTAGTTGTATATTTGCAATTTACATATAGGCAATG